AATCCAAAAGTCAACCCTGGTCAAACTTGGTCAAAGTCAACGGTCAAAGTCAACCTCCAGTTGACTTGACTCGCCGAGTTGTTCTACCAACTCGTCGAGTCCATACTCCTCCAATCCCAAAACAACCCCGACTCCACTCGTCGAGTCTGGCAAGAACTCGACGGGTTCTCCTTCAACCATACAATCGGGACCATCTTCAACCGAATCACCGAGTTCATCCTTGAACTCGTCGAGTTCATCATCCACATATGAATGTGTCTAGACCATAACTCGCCGAGTTGTATGAACAACTCGTCGAGTCCATCTTCATAGCTAATGAGATTGCCTTGGACTCGCCGAGTTCCTCCTTGAACTCGTCGAGTACAATGAACTTCATGACCACTATGGACTCAGACCGGCTGAGTCCCTTTCCAAAATCAACTCACACCCTTAACAGAAGGGTTTTGGGGCAAGAACTGGCATGACTCGCCAAGTCCCACAATTGATTCACCGAGTCTCTCTATATCCAACACTATTCAAACGATTTCTGACAAGCTCAAGGCATCCAAGACCCGGATCTAGCCTCCTAGGGTCGGGATATCACACAAAGCTGCTACCTTTGCACCCATGCATGGCCCTTTTTGCTCAAAAGTCCATAATAACCACTTAATCTTCGCATGGGGAGGTATAATGGCGTAGAGCTTCCACCTTTATGCCTTTACTACTCTGAACACCTCTAAATCTGGAAGGATCTAGCTTGGGGACGTCCAAATCCCACAAGACATCGTTCTTGGTCCATGACTCCATAAAAGGGACATAAATAGATCTAACAAACTAGAAGTCAAGGAAGGAACTTGATTACCAAAATGAGCAGCAAATGGAGTGAATATTTTGGATCTACTCCTTCCTCCTTGAACCTCCAACCTTCTTCTTGTTCTTCAAAGCTTCAAAATGCTTCAAAACTCACAAAATGGCTCACAAACTCAAGGGAGGCTCTAGGGTTTCGTTCTGAACTTGAGAGAGTATCAAGGGGGCTGGTGAAGGGCTATAATGTTCCTTAAATAGGGTACAAGTCCCGTATTTAGGGTTTTCCCAAAACCTGGCCAACTCGTCGAGTCAGTCTTCTGACTCGTCGAGTAGGTTACTAAACCCGCGACCAAATCGCGCTCCTACTCGTCGAGTCACCCATATACTCGACGAGTCACTTCCTCAAATTGAGGTTTTCTTCTCTTTTCCGGCCTTCTGGTTTCAGGGTGTTACAACTCTCCCCCACTTAAACTAGACTTCGTCCTCGAAATCCACCACGGTCCACTACCTTACCATCCACTTACCACTTTACCGCTAGTTACACTCTTCGTCCATCCGATCCAATCCTTGAAAATGTCATCTTCAGAATAATCCGATCATTACTACCTTCGAGTACAACACTTTTACCCAACCGGTAACCCTACCGGTACTCCCAGTACACCTTCATTGATACACCAGGGGTTCACCCCCTTTTCCCTGCATTGTCACTGGCCTTTCCAAGGCAGCTTTCCACAAGCAACAAACCCTTCCAATCCCCATCAAGGACAGATCCTCTGCTGCAACTGCAATCCCGGCCACTCCCAGCGTCGGCCATCTTACTAATACTCATGGAATAACCCCACAACGATGCTCCAATACTGAAAACTCCACTCAGCGTGAGAATTCACCACTCTAAGGAAAAACTGATGAACCATTCAATAAGTTGATTTGTGAATCTTTAATACTATTTATGAAGAAAACAGACACATGCTATCAAAGAAATTGGCGTGATGTTTACATCCACGTTCCATGTAGTCTATTGCTGTAAAGACTTTGAAGTCTTCCACTAGCACGTGTCTGTATTAGAATTAATATTTTTAGGCTGTTTTACCGTTTCCATTATGGATTTTGACCTCAAAAAGGACTTTTCTGTTTTTAATGCCTATATTATAGTTTTGGGGTGCTTTACATCCCTCAAGTAGAATACCCTTTAATAAAGAAAACGTTAATCTTTTGTAAAATAACTATTTTGCCAATTCACGGACCAACTATAATTTCCAAGAAGTATTTAAACTCTGCTAAATTGATTTGAATTGTTTATTAATTTTTTTAGAGAAAGAGATGGTAATTCTGAGAAGCAATGTTTCTTCATCTGCAACAATCATCGAAGACCTCCTCATATTGAGTAACATCAAGAAAGGAATCATACAGAAAACCCTGCAAACGAGCACTTCACACATCTTGCATAGAATGCAAGATTCATCATAAATTGTATTTTAACATTGCAAATCAATATAAGTATGTCAGTGTTTCTTGCATTTAACCCTTAGAAATATATATGAGCCTTTTTGTTCGTATGTATCACATTTTAACAACAATTGTTGATTTATGTATCTGGTGGCAGGTCTAGATTCATATGTCGTAGGACTGTCCAAAATTTTTATGATAGGGCTATATGCACAACTGTATGTACTACTCATTTCCTCACTTAAATAGAATATACACTATACAATATTTTGGCATTTTTATTGTTTAATGTGATGAAAAAACTTTCATGTTAACTGTAATTTCTTATTGCTGATTTGTTAGTTTTTCCTCATCTTCATACCTTCTTTATAAAATGCATGCGCCTACCATAAAAAGTTTAGTTTTGATTTTTGTCCTTGTATTCAAATATGGAGCAACTATTATAGGTGACCTGATTTCATCAATTCATGTTTTCCGTGTTCTTGATTTTCAATTTCATCCTTGATTCTTCAATTTCATCTATCACTTGCTTAAATTGATTAATGAATGTGAATCTAGTCAATGAATGAATCATTTGGATTGTTGAAAAACAATGTATAGAGCAGCAGGGTAAAATGATCATTTTTCATCGGTAAACACATTCAGTTAGATGTACAATCAAACAACAGTCTTACTCAGTCATGATTTCTTACCCCCTTACCAAGTCAGCACTTTCTCAGTCAGCAACTATCAAATGGGACCTTATTGAAATTGTGACCTATTAAAATCGTTTGTTGCTGCCTTACTGGTTACTGAAATCATGTGTTATTGTGCCAGAACCGTGACTTAAAATCGGAGGACTTATTGAAATCATGCCTTACTGAAATCATGTGTTATTGAAATCTACTCCAATCGTGTGTCATTTCTCATGCATGTTTGCAATAGTAGACATTGTTTTGTTTTGGAAACGTTATTTATTAAGCTATAAAGTGAATAGTGATTCACGTTATATGTGAAATGCATAATTATAGCATAATCTTAATATTGTAAATAGGTCGGATAAAATGGTTGAAAATCCTTTTATCCGGTGGATAAGGGTATGAGTTTAATTATTATACATGTTTCATCCATGACCAATAATATACAACTCAAATTGACTTATTTTCATGTCAACTAATTAAAATTATCACCAATTATACTTGACCAATACAATGATTTATGAGTTGAATTGCATTTAAAAAGAAAATTCACATGAACTATTAAAAACCATGATTTGTGATTTTAAAATATATCAAACAAAAAAACAGATGAACCAATTAATACGTCGATTTCTGATTTTAAAAAGTATCTAAGAAGATAACAGATGGACTATCAAAAAAGTTGGCTTGATGTTTACCTCCATGTTCGTGATTGTCTATTGTTGTCGTTCATATTTGAATTGATGTATTTTAGGTTTCCACTACTCTGCTTTTTTTAAAGTTGTGGATTTGGCCCGAAAAGAACATTTATGTTTTTAGTCCCTAAAATAAAGTTTTGCAACACTTTTCATCCTTCAAGTGGAATAAAAAAAGCAATGGTTTGTAAAATAACTATTTTGCTCTTATTTTAAACTGTTTACTAATTTACGACCAAACATCACTTAGTCAATTAGTCAAATATGACCTAAATATATAACTTGCAGAAATTACAAGTATAAAAGATAAAGGTGATAATGAAATTAATATGTGAAAAATAAAAACAAAGTTAAATGGTGAAGACCAAAGGGCGACCCAAGACTTTCAGGCAACTCGTCCTTTGAGCAATACCATGGTGGAAACTCAACTATCCCATCCCAGGTTTCACGAACTATAGCCAATTCCAAATCTCTATATAATTCATTGAACTTCTTACAATGTCTTAAGAGAACTAAAATTTTGATTTTTGGAAGAAATTTGCTCAATATAACGAAGATGCATAGACTACACATATAATCATATCAAATGTTAATGAGTAAATAAATAAAGTTAAATTAAATCTTTTCTAAAAACATTACATATCTTCTTAGATCTTGGATGATACTATTTTTATTAATAAATGTTTATGAAAAAACTTAAATATCAATATGTTGCGCCAGCTAAGTAACAAATTAAAATAAGTCAATTTCCAGTACTATACTCGAAATGGATCATAATGACCCGTCAATCTTTTATGTCCTTTATTTGAAAGTTTTTAATAATTAATATATTAAATATGTTCATCAAATTTATATTATTAAAATAATAATCCATTTTTTTTATATTAAAAAGTTTAAGATATTACAAGAATCTAAATGCACTTCAAACGACTTTCTACTATATTTGTTTGACAATTTTCATCTTATTGTTTTTTTATTGGACATATTTCACCCATTACTGATAAATTATACCCTAAATCCACTCATTTTCATAACAAATAATTGAAACTACCATCAAAGACATTGAGTTAGTGATTTTAAATAAATATCCAAGAAGAAAACATATGAACTATTAAAGTTTTTTTTTTTTTTTTTCTAATTACTATAGTTAGTCTGTTTTTTATTTTTTAAATATCAGTCTTTTTTCCTTTTTGCTCTATTAGTTGCTTTTTCAGCTATATCTTTTAATGTTCCCATTTATTTTTTAAATCTCAGTCTTTTCTCCTTTGGCTATATTAGTTGCTTTTTCAGCTGTATCTTTTAATGTTCCCATTAACCGTCACTGTTAAACTTGCTAATGGCCTAGCTATTGGCTTATATATAATGAGGATTGCATGTCGACAATAAACTATTTGAAAATAAAACCCCTTTTTCATGGCTACATACATGAATCATTTCAAGTTCTTGCAAACTATCTCCTTTGTGTATGTGTTGGTGACAGTGAAGAATGTGACTGGATCATCAGTAAGCCATGATGAAGAATGCTCAGCCTTGTTTCAGTTTAAGCAAACCATAATTCACCAAGATAATGTGGCTTGTGCTGCTCTTGGGTCTCAAGCGTTCTACTCTTGGAATCCTAGTTTTGATTGTTGTTCGTGGGAGGGGGTAACATGCAGCAATGACCATGATCAGTATGGTCATGTGATCGGTCTTGACTTGAGCAAGAGGTCTCTTTGTGGGCATATCAACTCCAACAGCACCCTCTTCAACCTTGTTCATCTTCAGACACTCAATCTTTCCATGAATGACTTTCGTGAATCTCAAATCCCTTCTGAGATTGCTCGTCTAAAGCAATTAAGAAGCCTCGATCTCTCTGAATCTGGATTTAGTGGCCAAATCCCAAATGAAATCTCACAGTTGATGCACTTGTCTTCTTTAGATCTGTCATGGAATTCACTAAAGCTTCACAGTCGTAGCCTCAAGAATCTAGTGCAAAACTTAACAGGACTTGAAATGCTCCATGTCTCGGGGGTCGACATTAGTTCTTCTGTACCTCACTTCTTGGCCAACTTTTCTTCTTTGAGGTCAATCAAGCTGAGAAATTGTTTGCTTAAGAATGATTTCCCTGCAGCCATATTTGAGCTGCCAAAGTTGCAAGTTCTTAATTTGGCAGACAACATCAACCTCACAGGTTCCTTTCCCGAATTTCAAATGAACAGCTTACTTGAAGAAGTGATACTATTTTCCACAGGTTTCTTTGGGATTATACCAGAATCCATAAGCTACCTCAAACATTTAACAGTCTTATCCCTTACTGAATGCTCTTTCTCGGGGCCCATTCCAGGTTCACTCTCTAACTTGACGCAACTCACTGTCTTGGCTCTTGGTCACAATAAGTTCACAGGCTCAGTTCCTTCACTGGATAGTCTTTTAAAACTCGATGTTTTGGAACTTAATGGTAACAGATTCGAGAAAGGACGCTTTCCAAATTGGCTTGGAAAGCTTACTAAACTTAGTGCACTCTTTTTGTGTGAGATGAACATAAACGATGAAATCCCACCCTTTCTTGCCAACCTAACCAAACTTAGTATCATAGAAATGTGGAAAAATTCTCTTATTGGTCGTATACCATCATGGTTGTTCAACTCCACCCAACTAACAGATTTAGATCTTACGGCTAATCAATTGCAAGGACCAATTCCAAACACATTTTCTAATTTCAAAAGTCTTCAGTCTCTTAACCTAGCCATAAACAATTTCAGTGGTAGGGTAGAACTCGACATGTTCCTAGGACTCAACAAACTTCAATCATTGTCCTTAGGTTATAACCAGATATCATTAGTACCCACCAACAACTACACCAGTACCACTTTACCAGAATTGAATCGGTTATTCCTGTCGTCATGCAACTTGAAAGAATTTCCTGCCTTTTTGCGCTTCCAAAATAAAATGGATACCTTACTTCTTGACCAAAACAACATTCATGGCCTGGTACCGGTGTGGATCTGGAACAACAGCAGAGAAACATTAGAGTTGATTAACCTTTCATTCAACTCCATCACTGGCTTTGATCAGCACCCTCATTTTCTCCCATGGACAAATTTAGAAGTAATTTATCTCAATAATAATCAGCTACAAGGACAACTACCAATTCCACCACAATCCACAGTTATATATTTTGTCTCGCATAATAATCTGACAGGAGAAATACCACCATCGATATGTGAATTGAAATCCCTTCAAGTTTTAGATTTGTCTTTTAACAACATGAGCGGAACGCTTCCTTCATGTTTGGGTATCTTATGCAATTCGCTGATGGCTTTGAAGCTGAGAAGAAATAACTTCCACGGCAATATGATGAATGCTTTTTTGACCGGAGGCCCGTTGACAAAACTTGATTTAAGCGAAAATAGATTTACAGGTCAGCTGCCAAGATCATTGACAAATTGTACCAATTTAGAGATTCTCTCTCTTGAAGATAACTCTTTTCATGACACCTTTCCTTCATGGCTGGGAACTCTTTCCAACCTGCAAGTTCTGGTTTTGCGCTCCAACAAACTTTATGGTCCAATTCAAGGTTCCACAGCTGTTTCCTTACAGTTCCCTAAGTTACGGATCATAGACCTCTCTAACAACAATTTCAGTGGTCAATTGCACCAAAACTATTTCCAAACATGGCATGCCATGAGGTCCGCCAATCTTGGTATATCATCTGTTATGAAATCAAATATATCCTCCAAAAACGTCAATACAAATTTGACATACTCGGTGACATTAATACACAAAGGTGTCAGAACAGAGTACTATCGTATTTTAACCATAGATATGTCCATTGATCTCTCTTGTAACCACTTTGAAGGAGAAATCCCGCAATCACTACAAGATCTTCGAGGGCTTCAAGCACTCAATCTTTCCAACAATAATTTTACTGGACATGTCTTGCCAACTTTGGGGAATCTAGAGAATCTTGAAGCTTTGGATCTCTCTCGAAACAAGCTATCCGGGGAAATTCCTCAACAATTGGTGCAACTCGGCTACCTTTCCATCTTCAATGTGTCATTCAACCATCTTGATGGTCACATTCCTCAAGGGAAACAATTCGATACATTTGAGAACGATTCCTACGAGGGGAATCCCCGATTGTGCGGACAACCTTTATCCAAGAAATGTCAATATTCAAAGGTGTCAACGCTTCCACCAACAAGCAATGTGTCTGAATCTCTACTCCCAAGTGAAAGAATTGACTGGATCATCATATTATGTGGAGTTGGAAGTGGGTTGGCAGTTGGGATTGTTATTGGGAGCATTTTGTATACAAGGTATAGTGATCGGTTCACAAAGAGGATGGACAGATGGGTAAGGCCACTTCGTAACACAAGGAGAAACTAAGGTACAATGATTCATTAAATAATTTGTAACAAAATTTCAAGATAAAAAATTGTTATGTTTATGTAGTCTCTACCAATTTGAAAACTATTTCCGTGTGTCATTCAAAAAAATGTTCATATGTCATCCAAAAAAGTATAATGCTTTTTATTTTTAAATAAAATAATTTTTATTTTAACTTTGATATGTTACATGTCAAGTCCAGTAGTTATGTGATGTCATTCTATGTTCTGAGCATAATATTCTCTTAGAGGGTGTTTGGAGGGTGTTTGGATAGGGAAAAAAGAGGGTGCTTATTCCTTATTGCTTATTCCCACCACAATAAGCTAAGTTTAAGTGTTTGGATAGGAATCCTTAAAAATCAGCTTATTATGGTAGGAATAAGCTAAATAAGCTGATTTTAATAAGCATCCCCTCATTTGCTTATTGCTTATTCCAACCACAAACACTTTTGCAAAAACTGTTTATTCCCACCGCAATAAGCTAATAAGCTATAAACTAATTTATCCAAACACCCCGTTATAATATAGTACATGACTAAAGTACTAACTTGTATGTAATCAATATTATAACCATGTTTTTATATGTTCATTTTATATTGCCGATTCGATATTTTCAGTTGATAGAAAACCATAAACTTTGCATCATTGAATTTAACTTAGCATGTATCTTAGGAGGTGTCATAGCTTGAAGTTCAGAGGGTAAAGAGAAGGTGTACAAGACTTTCAAGGGATTTCAATTTGTTTTACCAGTATGTGTGTAATACGTTTAAGATTGTGTTCATTTAGTTGGATTTCTTTGAGTAGACTTTCATCGTAAGATCTTTTATGTATCATATAGTATCACTTTCAGTGTTTAAGTTTATCGTTTATGGTGGCATGATCATAGACTCTTATGTAAGCTATTGGTAAGTAGTCACAACCTCATATTTTGGGTTGTCATACTATGAGATTCATACATATTAAATATTTTCAAATAAAACAAGTGAATGCCATTGTTAGTACAAAAATAAATTACTACGAAATAGGTTATAAGACCCGGATCATATTTGATGCAAAGAATAGTTTTTATGTATATTTTTACACTTACAAATGCAGCTGATATTGCCATGTAAATACATACATCCTTCGCATCAGACTTGGTGAATCTGAGAAAATCAGAAAATGAAACTTTGAGATATTGGAAACTTTAACACCAGCTCAAAAACTTACATAAATTTTCAATGCAGAAATACACACAACCAAAAAAGTAAATATAAAAAATAATACATTATGAAAACCGTAGGAGTAAATTAGCTACATTGAAAATATATATGGTGTCTTAATTCCTTTTCATCATACAACACATTCAAGTGGTCCACTTATTCTCTAATCCACCATATAAACAATGTATATGGAATCATAGAGATGGAATGGAGTATGAATTCAAAGAATATAAACTATAGTAGTTAAGGTATCTAATAGTCATACTTCTGAACACATTCTCATAATTATCACCTGTCTTTTATGAGAGTGGAAGAAAAAATCATAAAGTCGCTTTGGTGGGTTAATGTTACTGTGGCACAAAATCTCTTACCAAGCTCTCACAATTTAACAGTCGAATGGTTAAATTTAACGATCCAGAGACCAAAATAGTGATTTACTGAAAGAAACATTTTGGGAACAAAATCGTAAAAAGTGCTTCAGAGACCAAAATTGTGATTTACTAGAATTGGGAACTTGTCATTTCATTCCCAAAATGAGGTCGCAACTCCCTAAACGAAGCGGTAGAAACTCTTCAATTATGTCAATTTCCTGTATTAGATGAATGAGGTTGGACACTTATCCGTATCAATCTCAAAGATCACTTAGTTGGGCTCTTGAGGGGCTGTTTGGACCTTTTGTTATACACATAGTGTATTGGGGTTTATCGGTAAAGCCTCTAAAATCTGCAATTTTTGCTTAAACATGATTCAAAACTTTCCAAGATATAATCTTTATTAAGGGGGTCACATTGAAAGTTATATTTACGGAAAAGAGGAGGGGTAAAAAAGTAAATTTAGTTTGGAGTTTTAATGGTTACAAACAAAGTGAGCTTGCATCTCACAAGTTCAAATGGTGATCCTGTTAAGCATGCTTGAAGAAAATAGATGTTCAAATACATATAATCAACTCATAAATCAGGTAAAGTAAGATGGAATGAGAATACCTTAATTGCCTCAGGTATTTGCCATAACTTACCGTGTTTTTAATAAGTGGAAACTTTATGCTCTCTGATTTGACTTGATTCCAGTTTTGTCTTTCCTCTTACCATGGATTCAAGTGCAGATATTTTCCATAACTTACCGTGTTTTTAATCACTACAATCATAACCAATTCTACATGAACTAAAAGAATGAACAATTACTGAATTGAGATAACAAATATTTAAAACAGCAATGGAATCCATCCAATAAACTAATATGAAATTTGGTTGTAGAACCATGAAGTGGATTTAGTTTCCACCGTCTCTACCCTTTTGTGAATTTCAATTTTCAATCCATAAGGCTGCTCAATCGGAGCCTTATACTCTATATACTTGTCCTATTCTTCTGTCGTCAATTCTTCATGAGAGGAGAGCTGGTGGTAGGGTTGCGGTTATGCTCTGTAAGCAAATTGTGGCTGTGTGGAACAAAGAAGATGATAAAAAAGTTAATCCATGACTTTTAAGGTAAAATGTTGGAAAACAGTGTCTTGTTTGTAATTCGCCTGAAACATAACACGAAAAAGAGTTTTTTTCTTATGTCTTAGATAATGTATTTTTATTGATAAATATATCTAGAATAATTTGCAAAATCTGCGGGTTACAAGTTAAAATGACTTGATTTTTAGTACACGTAGAAAGAGGTCACATTGATTCGCCAATGCTTAAACCGTATAAAATCCATTTTTTTGGAAGAAATATGTTCGATGAAGTGCATCTGCTACTCCACAACTCTAAGAAAAAGCTGATGAACCATTCTATACGTTGATTTGTGAATTTTAAATACTATTTTACGAAGAAAACAGACGCATTATCAAAGAAATTTGTTCAATGAAGTGCATATGCTACTCCACCACTCTTAAGGAAAAACTGATGAACCATTCAATACATTCATTTGTGAATTTTTAATATATTTATGAAGAAAACAGATGCATGCTATCAAAGATATTGGCGTGATGTTTACATCCACATTCCATGTTGTCTATTGCAGTAAGACTTTGAAGTCTTCCACTAGCACTTGTCTGTATCTGAATTAATAATTTTATGCTATTTTACAGTTTCCATTATGGATTTCGACCCCAAAAAGGACTTTTCTGTTTTTAATGCCTATAATATAGTTTTGCGGTGCTTTACATTGTAACATCCCAAAAATATAGGCCAAAAATTTCATTTTTAAATCAATACTTTGGAAAACATTTGTGAATAAGCAACGTTTGATCATATCATTTCATAAACATATTTCGTGTCCGAAAGACCAAAACATAAAAACAACCATAATGCCAGAGTACAAAGTCCCAGAATAACTCATGGTGCGGAAAACAATGTGCGTGTATGATGTGCCGCTACCGCGCCAGCTCCTTCCCCTTCGATGAAGAGGTACCTGAAAACAAAACTGTAAACTGTAAGCACGAAGCTTAGTGAGTTCCCCCATCGTACCACATACCATACAATCACATAACATACAAATACTGTCAGGCATATCTGGGTGCCCGACCTACCCCTTCGGTCCTTTCGACCGGATACTGCCTAGCATATCCGGGTGCTGGCCTCCCCTTCGGTCCTCTCGACCGGATACTGGGGACTATTTCACCCCCTACCACTACCACATAAAACCCTAGCATATAAACATATATCACATATCGCCTAGCATATCTGGGTGATGGCCTACCCCTTCGGTCCTGTCGACCGGAAATCCTGGGGACTATCTCCCCTACTGCTACTAGCATATAACATCATATCATACTAGCACATAACATATCAGATAGTAGCAAACCTAGATGATATCACAAAGACAATCATCCAACATACAACTCCTACTGGTGGGCCGACATTGTGGCCGTAGACCCACCGCTACTGGAAGGTAACTCACCTCGAAAAGTAGCTGCTGAAAGTCTGCTTGCTAGACGTCTGACTGCTGCACCGGTAATCCTCCGGCTATAAATCCATAAACATATATTAGTCACTCATAAATACCCTTAGGTCAAATGACTGACCTACCCCTGGTCCAAGGTCAACTCCTTGGTCAAAGTCAACTTCCAGTTGACTGGACTCGCCGAGTCATGACACAGACTCGCCGAGTCCCTCTCCTACTATTCCAGTACTAACTCATCAAGTTCCTCTTCCCACTCACTGAGTCACCCTTAACTCACTTCTTGGGACGATTAAGCTGACTCGCGATCCGACTCGCCGAGTCCGAGAACAACTTGTCGAGTTTCGGGCAAACTTCATAGGACTCGCCGAGTCGTTCATCCAACTCGTCGAGTCTAAGACCATCTTCATAGAACTCGCCGAGTCCACTTTGGAAACTCGTCGAGTCCCTTCAACCCTCCTCCCATACAGACCAAATCTGAGACATGCAACGGATCCAAACCATAGATCTAAGCCCCTAGGGCATGCTTATCACGTAAAGTTGCAAACTTTACGTGCATGCATGGCCCTATGAGCTCCAAAAGGCAAATCCAAGCTCTTTATGAGGTCATACACTCAATAGGACCTCAATCACTTCAACCACAGAGACTTTACACTTCTAAGATGTCCATAAGGTCCAGATCTGAAGTCCTTTCAGAACATAGAGCATAAACACATGGAGTTTGAGGTTTTAGGGCTTGAAAACCACAAATTAAGTACAAAAAGGGGATCTAATGAACTAGTGATCAAGGTAGGAACTTTTCTACCTGAATGGAAGCTCCTCACAGTGTAGATTTCGGATCTACTTCCCCTCCTTGCACTCTTCAACCTCCTCCTTCTTCTTCTAAGCTCCAAACTTCCTTCATAAAGCCAAAAATCACTCACAAGAACAATAAGGGGGCTAGGGTTTCGCTCTACAGCTCTCTGGAAGTGTTAGGGACAAGGGAGGCCGAGTTAGAGTGTTTAAATAGGGTGCAAACACCCGGGTTAGGGTTTTACTCGTCCAGCATGGACTCGCCGAGTCTGGGACCCGACTCGCCGAGTCCCTCACTTTGATCCCGTGCCAAAATCGCTCCTACTCGGCGAGCCGTGCCTCCAACTCGCCGAGTCCAAGGCAAAATGAGAAAAATACATAAACAGGAATCGTACCAGGAATCCGGTGTTACAAATCTCCCCCACTTATCTTAGACTTCGTCCTCGAAGTCTGCTGCCCGTTCCCGGAACAATTCCGGGTAATGCTCCATCATTTCATCCACCGGCTCCCAAGTCCATTCCGAGCCCTTCCGGTGCTGCCATTGCACCTTCACCAGTTCCACTCTCTTGTTCCTCAGATCCTTCGACTTCCTGTCGAGGATAGCCACAGGCCGCTCGATGTAATTCAGACTGTCATCGACCTGAATATCTTCCAAAGGCACCACTGCCGAGTCGTCCACCAGACACTTCCGCAACTGAGAGACGTGGAAAGTGCTGTGGATCTGGCTGAGTTCGGCTGGCAGATCCAACCTATACGCCACTTTGCCCACCCGGGCTAATACCCGGAACGATCCAATGTACCTGGGGCCTAACTTGCCCCGCTTCCTGAATCGGATGACACCTTTCCAAGGCGACACCTTCAGGAGAACCATGTCTCCAACCTGAAACTCTAAGTCGGATCGGCGCTTGTCGGCATAACTTTTCTGCCGACTCTGAGCAGTCTGAAGCCTGCTACGGACCTGCTGAATCTTCTCTGT